GACGACTGCCTCTTAGTCCAAGTCTAGGTTTCCCATAAGCACAATCATATGTTCTGGGATTCCCATTCTTCTCAGAGTCAGCCACAGTTTGTTGTGATCATTTTTGGGTTTTGTTTGCTGTGTGTACATTCCTCTGGTACACCCTGCTTTCAACCAAGATCCATCTAACATTAGCTATAATATCCCTAGTACCATGGCTTCTTCTAAACCCAGCCTGCACATGTGGCAGCTCTCTGCTAACATATTGCTCCAGTCTTTTTGGATAATTTTCAGCAGAATCTTGCTTGCATGTGATATTTATGATATTGTTTGATACTCTGCTCACTCGGTCGGGTTACAAGCTAAAAGAAAAACAACCCACAAACAAACCTTGACTATAGTATTTATGTTAGATCACCAATTAGTGTTTGTATACCACAGAGTCGCAATCTACCCATAGGTGGCCCTTCAGCGGGTTTTCAGAGGCAGCTAATTGCACAGGAAGAGACTGCCCATTCTCCTGAAGAACAGCTGGTGGCCTCTTACAACTTGCCTTCAGAATTGTAGTGCACCTTCTTGCCACTAGGCCACCAGAGCTCCCTAGATCACAATTAGAGCCCAATTTCCCTTTCAGTCTACTACTTATCTTCATACATGCTATACTCGTCAAAATAAACACTGCAGATTTCTAAATCCCACATTTAAAACTTTTTTGTCTTAGCTTTTACTTTATGAGAAACTATAGCCAGTTTCACAACCCCAAATTGAACCCATTTTGTATAGATTATTCAAATCACCTCCTAATCTTCTGCCTCTTCTAGAGGTGATCTTTCTGTTCTGTCAACTCCTATGGCACTGCATCTAGACCTCTTTGATACCATTCAGATCTTTATTACAGGAGTATATCCTCAAATATCTATCTTCTCTTCCTCTATGTGACTGCAAATATATATATATATATATATATATATATATATATATATATATATATATATATATATATATAAATGGGTAATTAAATGTCCTAAAAGATGCACATTCCATGGAACTCACAAAATCAACTTAAGAAACATTTAAAAAAATAAGTTTAAACCATTACTAGGCTTCTCAGAATCTTTAACATTGTAAGAGACACTGTAAATCTTTAACATTGTAAAAGACACTGTAAGTCTCCAAGAATCCATTCATTTCCAAAACTTATTTGGCCTGTATTTTTTTTTCTTTATTTTCAGCAATACATCTCACCTTATCAATATTCCTATTAAGCAGATTATTTTCGGACATGTGATCTTATTAATTATGGTTCTGGCATCAAAGCCCATAGAAAGCTGTGCTGTTAACCCACAGGCATATCTCTAGCCATGTGAATCTACCAGTTACTCCACAGGAAAAAGATAGGCAATATCCTCTTGTTGCAATATACGGCCTCAGAAACCTGCTAGAGGGTCACTATGAGTTGGAAATGACTTGATGGCAGTTGTGTTTTTATCTTGAAGTTAATAGGAATCAGCAAATACTAGTGGAATGAATGCATTATCACAGTAAAAAAGAGGCCTCTTTCATAAAAGCTGCTTCTGAAAAAAGACTCTTGAAGAATGTTAGGAGAGAAGATCAGAAGGTTAGAAGGGAGTAGCATGTCCCCATAAGTGAAATGAAGAATACTTGCAAAACCAGAAAAAGATATTATCCAAAAAGGTATTTCCAAATCAGTTTTTACATACAGAGGACACAAGTAGACCACAAGAATCCACATTCATAATATTCATCTGAGATAGTTATTTACAAATACTGTAGACAAATCAAAGATTTGTCAACAAAGGTTGAAACAAGAAAGCAGTAGTATGAGCAAGTTCAAGGGCGGACACTATTTAAGTAACCAGATCTATTACTAATAGAGTTCTGGCAGCCTAGTCTGTAGGCAAGGAGTTATGCTGCCAACCTAAAGGCCACACCCCTCTCTAGTAGTTCAAATTCCCAGCAGGTCCACATAAGAAAGATGAGCAATACCCTCTTATGTGAATGACAGCCTCACAAACTCAAAGGAGGGTTGGTTCCAACTCAATAGTAGTTTGTTTTTTATTAGTAAATCACTCCTATTAACTGCAAAAAGATACTATACATTGTCTTTCTCATATAAAGTTGTTTACATGACCTAAGACAAGTAAGGTTTTTAAAAATATCATTAACATTTGTGAAATACTATGAATTCAAACAGCTTAATTGTGTTATCATTTAACCTCTCACTTCAATGTAGAATAAGGTAGTGCAATTTTACTTAGTAGTGCAAAAAATCAGGATATATGAAAACAATATATCCATGACTACAACCTAATCTGTTTCCCACAGTTCTCCGGCTGTGACTAAGAAAGGGAAGCAGAAGAGACACTCCCGGCCTGCTCTACAACTCAGATCCTAAGGCAACAGCAACAGGAAAATAACAGCAGTGGCTGGAGTTGTTGTCCCCCCTCCCAGTAAGGAAAAGAGCATAGCTTAAACATTCAAGGACAGAAACTACCGTAAGGCTGGACAAACATATTTCTTAGTTAACAGCTACTGAATGTTCATTTTAACACCACCACCATATGCTTTATTTAAATGATGCAACAAGTCAAGAAAGAGAAAGTCATGAGAGTTAAAATTTGTAGGTAAGTTCATTAAGGTGGCTCTAAGAACCCTGTGGTCATAGAATAATTCTGTATCACTGACCAAAAAAAGTGAATTAGTGGACTATCTTGTAACTGGAGTCACCGAGTTATGTCAAAACTGAATTTGGGTTTACTACTTTACTAAAAATCAGATCCTATAAACCAAAATATGAGGTCCAAGGATCATAAATAAATCAAATGAACACAAATGGTCAAATATTTAAAGAGAAATATACATCATATGGCCTGAGATATAACTGTGAACGCCAAACAAGACTCTTAACTCATAGGCTAATGAAGTCTTAGGAAATGTATATTAATGTAACATTTTTTTCTGTTAAAAGCTAGCTTATCTCATACTTCACTGAATAAATTAAAGATCACTTTTTAGTATTCTACATGTATAAAGTTTTACAAACAAGAAAAAAACTGCATGATATTTTCCCCAGGAACACAAAGCAAGAATGTCTCCCTGCTCCTCGTACTTCAGTAAACAAGGAATTAGAGAAGTTAACTTAACAATATCCTCCAGCACTTAGGTCTGAGAAAATATACTTAATATTTCTGAAATCTCCCTGTGATTATAATCTTTCTTTACACACTATTTTATGACAATTTATTGTAGCAATAATGTCATTCCTCTCAACAAAAGCTTTTCACTGAAACCCAAATTGTAGTAAAAATACAAAAAAAAAATTCCACTTGTTATAAACATTGTGACATTCAGATTTTAAGCCACAAAAAATGCTACATTTACATCCAAAAGAAATATACTTCTTATTGCAGGAAGAAATTAACTGCAGCATTCTCAATGAGTGCACTATTTGTTACTTAGTATGAAACAAGCTCCTGTGCTTGCTCACAGAAATTAAAGTCTTTTCACATGGGTGTTTTGTATTTTCTTTCTCTAAAGAGGATGCTTTACTTATGTCACTCCTTTGTGGCTCTTTAGTTTTCCCGTCCTATTATTTCAAATATCATAGCCTTTTATATAGAACTTTACTAAATTAAATGACAGGTTTTTTTAGATTCTGAAAACGCCAAAAGAAAACAGACGCGAAAGCTCACCGTGTAGCGCGCATTAACAACTGGGTAGCAGCAGTTCTATGTTTTCTAATCCCCAAATTTCTTAACACTCTAGTACAAATGTTATTCCAGCTTTCTAAATGAAGGGCTAAGTAGGAATCGACCGTCCTGAAACATTCACTTCCAGCTCTTTCAAATGTAAGGGCGTACATAGTGGGAAGCAAGAGCGCCACTTGTAATGCTTCCTAACAACGACTTCACGCCTAGAAGCCCTCATTGCCCAGGATCGCAGGTATTCCCCTCGGAATTTCAGGCGGGGATCAAGTGTCAAGACGTGGCTCGCCCAACCTGGGGTTCCTGACTCATTTCAGCCCTTCCTGCAGAGAAGACATCTTCGAACGTCCGAAGCCCCGAGACTTCCCTCTCGCCGCCGCCGGGAACACCCACTCCTCCTCCTCTCTAACTCGGGGTTCCCCTCCTTCGCCCACTTCCCCGCCGCGGTCCCGAAAGCACCCCTCCCCCATTACCCGCTCCACCCGCGCGGACACCCGCGGCACCACCCCCGCCCTCGGCTTTCACACCCTCACAGCGGACGCACGCGAGCCCCTCTGCCCACGCGCCTCCTGCAGCCGCGGGCCTGCCACTCCCAGAGGGCCGCCGGCACCCACCTCGAAGAGCTCGGCCGTCGTAGCCATCCCGGCCGGCTGAGAGGCTCGCCGCGCACTGGCTGCCGTCCCTCTTTCACATGCTGCGCCTCAGCGGCGCCACGCACAGGTCCCCGCTCGGCTCGCCAGCTCGGGCCTCGAGCCGCCGCTGGCTCCCCCACTCGCCACACAGCCCAGGCGGGGTGTGAGAGCGGCCATGAAGCAAAGCCACAGACGACTGTCAGCTGCCTCCCGGCGCCGCCCGCGCCGCTCCCATTGTCACCGCCTCACGCGCCGGAAGTGGAGCTGCGCGCAGCCTGGGAGATGGTCGGGAGGGGCCGCGGAAGGAAGCCAGCAATGAGCCAAGAGACGGGAGACTCGGCTCGCGGGCGCGTGAGGAAGCACGATCCTTGCGGGCCACCGTCCCGGAAGTGGAAGGGAGAGGAAGAAAGGGATGGATTTGCTAGGGGTGCGTTAGTTTGTCAATGTTCTCGGCTGAGAATTTTGCGGCATGATTTGACCCAAAGGGAATCAGAGGCTTTAGTCATCTCACCTGCAGCTTCTCTGCTGAGCCCTGCCTTTAAGTGGTTGGGCAGGAGGTGGTGACTCAGGATGAGTATCGGGGCTCCTGGTAAAAATTACGAGAAAGCCTCCCTTTGCTCTTGGCGGCTGCCATAGATACAGGCTGATTCTTAAGCGGCCCATCATGGCCCAGCGGGCAGTGTGGCTGATTAGCCACGAACCAGGAACTCCACACGGTGGCACCGTGAGATTCTCCAGGTAAATACTAATTTGGAAACTCAAGAATGATGGATCAGAAAACCCGAAAAGCACCGACATAATCATGCAGTATTATTTTGTCATGTCTTGTACCCTTGCTCCACCACAGCCTAACCTCTTTTACAGCTGTTTTTAGGAGGTTTTAGTACTACTGCTTCATAGTGTTGTGAAAATTAAATTAGTTGATACTTGGCACATATCAAATTGTTGTGTACCATCGAGTGGAAACAGACCACACCTATAGCTGACCCTCCTGCAGATTTGCAGAGGCAGTTAATCACACGGGAGGAGAGGTCTCCCGCAGAGTAGCTGGTGGACTCGAACCGTGTGTCTTCCGAATTGCAGCGCAGCTTCTTACCACTAGGCCATCACCGTATTGCATGTGTTTTCTATTACCAGTATTATTAAAAGTTATAATTCACTCCACATGCTTAAGATTGCTATGTACATAATGAAAGGAAGGTTTAAAAAACCCACCACACAATTTAGTGAATGAACTCTGATCGTTTTTCAGATTTCTGCTTGCACTGATTGAAATAATTTAAGGACATCTGAACTCATTCTTTAGGAAAATTGTTACTGAACACTGTCAGACTCACTTTAATCTTACGCCTCATTGCTAAGTTGTATTAACTTTTTTCTTGCATGGTGTCAATTGAAAGCCCTGGGAGTGTATTAGTGATAGTAGGGAAACCAACATGTTCTGTAAACTTTCACTTAAATAAAAATAAATTGTTCTGGGAAGAGAACTACAGATTTTAAACATAGATGGCAGTTGGATAATGTATTTAACGTTATTCTCAGTAAACACTGGCCATTCATTCTTCACAGAGGAAAGCTCTATGGTAAAGAAGTTGGCTCTGAATTGAAATTGTGGGTGATAAAGATTAATGTACTTTAAAGAAAAGGTAATTGGCTTTGTGAGTATGAACAATTGCTTCATTGCAGTTTAAACAGTTTATTAGCATTACAGTTGGAATTAGTTTACCATGTTTCCATATAATCATCAAAATCAAATCCATAGCTACTGACTGCAACAGTATAAGACGTAATCACCCCCCCCCCCCAGTAGGATCTCTGAGGCTGTATAAGGAAGCAGCTGCCACACCATTCTCCCACAGTAGCTTTGAACATTTCGTCATTTTGGTTAGTAGCCTAGTATGTAAATGTGGTGGTGTTACTGGGTTGAAGATTTATAGTCTTTAGTCTATGATTCTTCACCTTCATTAGTTCATCTAAGATTACCCTTCGTTTTACCTATATATAAAATTTAGTATCTTTTTTCCTAACTCTCATTTCCCTCCACTTCATTTAGAGGAAAAAAGAAAAGTTATCTTGTAGTCAGTTCTGACACATGGCATAGTAGTTCATGTATTTTGGGGGGATTTCTATTTGAATATTAATTTTTTTAAATAAACAAGTGTGTTATAGATTTAATTTTCTTTCAGAAATGTCGATGTTAATTCTTGTTTATCTGGATCAGTACAGACCAAATGGATTTTCTGCAACAAAGGAAATGGGAAATGCTCTTTTTTTTTGTTTGTTTTTTATTTTATTAAATTTTATTAGTTTTAATGAACATTTACAGGGATTTTGGGCTTT